TTAATGTTTAGGTGACAGTCAGTCCCCCAAGGTCAACCATTCATTGTCTTCAACTACCATTGCCTTGGGTCTTGGTAGTTTGCTTTTTTATTTTTTAAAAAGGACTTCACCAATGTTTTCGGTTGGCCTCATAATTACACAATTGGTAAACGAAAGAATCGAACTCACTGCCATTGAGTTAAGTTGAGTAGAACTCATAGCAACCCTTCAGGGCAAAGAGGACTACTTCATTGGGTTTGAACTGCTGACGTTGGGGTTGGCGACCCGAAATGTCACCCACTGCCCCACCAAGGCTCCTTATAGCTTGTGTAAATCAAAGGTATTTCTGCAGGCACTGAGTATGTGTGTGGGTGTGTGCGTGCGTGTGTCTAAAAGAGATCTACACAGAAGACATGTAACCATTACAGGTTTTAGAGCAGAACCCTATCTCCTGTCAAGCATATTATCTTCCACAGGGCTTCCTGATTTTAGATCACTACTAAAAACAAGTGGTGCTTGTTTAAGGTTAACACTATATTATAAATGTCTAAGTTTGATGAAGATACCTTGTGTATGGTAAATATTCATCTCCTCTGGAACTTTGGAATCTGGACGTTGATAGGTGATGAATTCATTTTTATAATTGAATTAAGCAAAAAATGCTCAGGCTGATCTGTGGGGTGAAACAATTATTTTAAAAAGCAGGGTGATCATTGCTGGTGAGAAGCCACCAACTTCACAGCGCTGGCGGGAATAATGAGGTCTTCTGTTCGTGTTTAGATCAACACTGGGAGGGCACACAGACTTGTGTCTTTTCCTTGTTCCAGGTGTTATCAGTGAATGCCTAAGGACATGTAAAGAGCCGCCTTGCTTAATGCTAAAGGCTCTTATCAAGGCCATTTTCAGCGGCTAACTCACCTATGAACTTAAGAGAACATCAGACTTAAAGAGGAAACAGATGGTAAGGAAATTCACTTTTCTCTCTGCCTCTTACAGGAACAAGGACAGAATAGCCATGGGCCACCCCTTCTCCATGGTTGACCCGGCGGTGCCTCGTTTTACTGGCGGTGGATTTCCTCTCAATAAGTCCTCCAAGGTGAAGTCCTAACTTGAAGCCACTGGCCGGGGCCAGATGGACAGGCTGGGCAATTTGAGATGGAACATTTTGCAGGAATCCCTTTCAAAACTCTTTTGGATCATAGATTTTTTTTATTTTTTTAAAGAAAAATCAGTGCTCATAGTCCAGATATTCCAGGATGGAAAGAAGGCAGAACTACCATCGCCATGTCCACCGAGGATGAGGTTTCCCTAACAGATTGTCACGATAGCTGTTCAGTTAGGCTGCCCCATGGCATGAAACAGGTCTTTTGTTACTACCACGATGATTGATTTGAAACTCCCCAGATCTGGACACTCCATGTGGATAATTCTTTGGTTATTAATTTCTCCATCACAGACACCGGTACATTAGAGATTTTATATTAAAAAAATGCTTTTGAAAGGAAATGCATCCCCGCCAACCTTACTGATAAGACATTATTTTAATTATTCCTGGTTAACTAGTTGTTGCATGAGATGAGAAAGGACAAATGCTAAAGTGTCTAAAGCATTGTTCTGAGAACTATTTCTATGTGGGATTTCTTTTCAAGCTTGGGGTAGGAGACTCTGTTCCAAAGAGATGTACTAATAAATATTCCACCATAAAAAGAAGAAGAAGAAAAAAGAAGCTTTGTAGAGACTTTGATCTTTGTTTTGGTAGACCATGGTAGGAAGCTTAAACCGTTGAGTGTTAAGCATTTGACTCCGAGGAACCGAGTCTATAGAACCGAGAGTTCTGGCTGGCGTCTTCCAAAGGCCAAGATCGCGAGTTGTTGGCTCGACTGCTTTCTTTTTGTGGATGCCACCACTATTGGGGCATCAGTTTAGAGCTGCCTTCTTGTTCAGCGTGTTTGCTCAGTCTTCGTGTGTGAGGACACCCTTCACCATTTCTCCTCACTCTCTCACAATGGTCCTTCTCTAGCTTCGTCTTTAACACTTCTTGAGGAGTAAGCAACTCGGGTGTTAAGCAGGACAAGACAAGTGGGTGGTTACAATAGTCTTGTTGTGCTAAGGGACCAAGGTCCCCATGGCGAAGGGCAAGGAGGACAAAAGATCTGAGACGTTGGTTAAGATCCTGAAGGGAGGTGGGACTTCAGAGGAGCCTTCTAGATATTCTGCTGCCCTTCTCAGTCCCCATGGCCAGTACCCTGTCTTAGATTGGGGTCATCAGGAATGTCCCTAAGACAGTGATGAGCAAAACAGGTAGGGAATCTCAGGAAAATGAACAAGAGAGTGGGGCAATGAGATAGAGAAGGGAAAGAAGTCAAGCAAGAGCATGTTATCAAGCCCAGTTCCATGGAGGGAAACTTGGGCTCAGGCCTGTGAAGGGGGTGCGGGGCTGTAACCACATCTCAGAGTTGTTCCCACCCAGAGTGAGAGACCTGGAGTGTTCCTACCCTTCCTACTGTCAGCACTGGTCAAGGACAGCTCTGGATGGACACTTGGGGCTTTCCTTGCCTTCAGACAAAGCAGGCACTGGCAACCTAAGGGCAGCCCTCCGGCAGAGCCACTGCAGACGTTGACTGATGGAAGTGAACTTGGTGAAGGGCTCAAGAGGAAGTGGACAGGCAGTGAGGTCCTCTGAGGCATCTGACAAGTTGGCCTGGTCTAAGAACTCCTACAAGTGTAAATCAACAACACTGAGGTGAGGTATCCCCATCCGTTCTTTGGGCATCATAAAAGGAGGCTAGGGAGGCATGAGTATGTGCCCTAGATCATTTACCCAGACATTTTAAAATCTAAAGACACACATTGGACCATTTTCTGATTTTTCAAATCACTGATGACTTGAAATCACTTCCTCCAGAGACCACCATATTCTGTCCAGTACAGAACATTGGGTGCCCAAGACAGTTATACACATTCACAACACTGAAGAACCCCCTGTCCCTCTAGGGACATATTGAAGTAGCGTGAGAGCCAGTTTCCTTCTGAGCCCTCGAGTGACTTTATAAGAGGTTCGCTTCTCCAGGGAAGTGGGGTTCGTGAGTTTTGCTCTATGCCAGTGTGGTATAGTGACACTGAGCCAGGAGGGTTCTGGAGACAGATTTGAGGTTCAAATCTAGGTCCATCACAACAGTGGGTTGTAATGAGGATTAAATCATTTTCTGTACAGAACATGGTTAGAACAATACCAGGCACATAGCAGTTGTTATGAAAGCACTGCCAATAGGCTTGATTATATTATTGCCTGTAACGGTGGTTCAGATCTGTTTTGGGGTAAGTACAGGTAGAAGGTTCTTTAGAAACCAGGATCAGACCCCATCGTACTTAGTCAAGTAAAACTCACTCACTCACTGCCCTCGAGTCGATGCTGATGCATAGTGACCTGATCGGAGACGAGTGACCTGCCCCTATGGGTTTTCAAGACTCTAATTCTTTACAGGATTAGAAAGGCCCATCATTTTCCCAAGGAGTGACTGGTGGTTTTGAACAGCTGACTTTTCGGATCGCAGCCCTACGCATAACCACTACGCTACCGGGGCTCCTAGCTAGTAAAGTAAAGGGTCAGTGCAAAGGAGGGAGCCCCTCAGCGAGGTGGATCGGCACAGAGGCGACCAGCTGGGCTCAGTCATAGCAAGGATTGTAAGAATAGTGCGGGACCGGGCAGTGGTTTGCTCTGATGTGCGGAGGGCCGCTAGCAGTCGGCACCCACTCAGGGGCACCTAACAACAAAAAGGGCGATTCCCATCACCACTTAGAGCATCGGTTCCCAAGCTTACTTGGCCTACCGTCTCCTTTCAGAAAAACATCTCAGTACCTCACCCCCACCCCCACCCACTGGCAATGAAACACTTTTCTACTGTAGCCTATGAGGCAGGCTAAAGTATGGCTTTCGCCGCCCCGCCCCACTTGTGGTCATTTCAACATCCAGGGGGCAGTATCACCCACTTTGGGAAGCACTGATTTAGAGGATAATTAAGTATCTAGATAAAGCTAAATTTGGTAATGCCATTGATAATGGAACATCTCATTGAATTGCTATCTTCGGTGCTACATAGACACTTTTCTCAGAGTTGTGACCTGGGGATTCTTTGACCCTTCCCCTGCAGAGGTCATGCATCCCTAGGTCTTTCTCAGTCCACCAGAGGGGGAGATCCTGGTGCCCTTTCTTTGACCACAGCGCTCACCTGTTTTCTTTATGTAGCAGAGCAGTAGTCTCCTCTGCTGATGACGGAGCCCCACGAGCCAGGGGCGTGGAGGACTCGGGTGCTAACATAGGGGCTCTATTAGGCTCCATTCGCTCATGTTCACCTGGCAGGGGAGGGAATTAAAGACGAGAAGAGGTGGAAGATAGTGCTGCCGCCTCTCTCCCATATACCGAACACCTGGACAGTCAAGGGTAGTATAAGCAAGCACTATTTAAGTGCAGGTGTTCACACCCTAGCCAAAGCACAGAACTGAACTGTTAACAACCCGGAGATTTGCAAATCATTAAAGGGGGGAGGGGGGGGTGCCCAGCCCAACCGCTTTTAAAATCACAACTTTGAGCTGCATTGTCAAGCAACATTAGGAGATTGTGCAGTGTCATAATTTTACCGCAGGGGTTTGCAGAGTTTCCAAAAGGAGTCGTGGTGCTAAAAGATCTTCTGACTCCCCACCGGGCTGATGGGAGCCCATGTACCAGAGAGAGAGAGAGAGAGAGAGAGAGAGAGAGAGAGAGAGGGAGGGAGAGAGAGAGAATAAAGGGGAAGCCCTGGCCACTGTTGTTGTGCTTCCTGTGGAGAATGGCCCAGAGCAAAGGTTTGTTACTGTGATACGCCACAGAGGCAGTGGTAGTCGAGCTAAGAGGAGATGGCAGCTTGTCCTGAGCTGTCGTTTTGCTCTAAAAATGTACCAGGGTGATAATGATCATCTGATTCCCTGACTTGCTCAGCCAGCCTCTGAAGATTGACCTAGGCCAAGATACCCATCAGAAAATACTATTATAATGAATTTTGAGCACTTAACGGCATGTCAGAGCCCGGGCAGTTTGAGGAAAGAGCCTCTCTCTCTTTCTCTTACACATAATCAATTATGGGGAGATCCGGTTAGGATTGGAGCAAAGCAAGGGCCGTTTAAAATATTAAAGTGGGAAAATCACTTAAACGACATATTTCTCTATTTTCTTTGTAGTAGATGGGAAATATTTTTATAGTATTATCCATTTTTAACGTCTCATTCGATGCTGTTTTAGTATTACCATTTCTCAAATCTATTATTTACAAGTTCCATTAGGGTTGCGGGACCTATTAGAATTTTATAGCAGCACGAAATGTGAGATCAGCAGGATACCATTTTTCTTTTTTATAATTAAAAATAGATTTCCCCCCTCATTTGGAAGTGCCGGATGGTTATAGAAGATGAGAAAATAAGGATAAACAAGAAGGGGATAAAGACCACCAATAGTCTCACCAGCAAGGCTGGCCACTGTTGTTCTCCTGGGCAAGCACTCATCCCATTCACGGAGGGTGGTTGTCTAATTGTTGAAGCCCACCGTTTCTTCTGATGGTGGATGATTGGGCTTACCAGTGTGCCAAATATTTCTAATGCCGCCTTTGAAATAGTAATGCTTTTTACATTTCAGTGTATCTTTTTGGATCTCTAGAACTTTGTTTGCCTCTGTCACTTCTTTCCGGTGGATCATCTTGTGGGCTTCCAATTCTGACCTTGTGGTTGGCAGCCCAACTTGTAATCCACTCTGCCACCAGTGGCCCTAGAGGGCAGATTCACCCTGTGGGACCAGTGGGTCGGCCCCTTGGTGTGTCTGAGACTGTAAATTGCTGTGAGACCGGGAAGCCTCCTCTTTCCCCCACAGAACAGCTGGGGGGCGGGGGGGTTAACAGCCCAACAAGCCGTCTTGATTGACAAGCATATTCTGGAATAAAACACTGGGTCTCTATATGAAAAGAGTCACTGACATGCACACTGGTGTTATTATGACTCCATGTTCATTTTATTAACAAAAAAGATCCTCAGAGATCTTTGAAATTTACTTCCAATGAAATGTGATGGATGGTGAGAGAAGAA